TTTTTTTTTTTTTTTTTTTCTATTTTTCATGCAGCGTAATCGAAATATGCGAATATAATATTTCGAAAGCAGAGTTAAGAATTATAAGTATAACTAAAAAGATAGATTTTCGGTCGCGGGAACGATGAGTATCATTTTATCGGAAGCGAGAATAATTTTATTTTATACGAAACTTTGCGAGTATATAATGTGTTATACGTTATAATTTCAACAATTCGTTCAAATATTCTATTTCTAAACGTTAGTATTTTTTTTTTTTTTAATCTCTACCCTCGTTGAAAAAAAAATATTTCCAAGAGAAATTGTTCGAAAAATCGAAGATTGATTGAAAAAAAAGAAATAATAATAATTCATATTATGGACATACGGACAAACTTTCATTAAAATTAGGTTAGACGAATGTTTTCTCGTAAGATAACGTATACAGATTTTTCGTAAATTCGGTGCGAAACAACGAAAAGATAGCTGGTGCCAACAGACTGTTCCTCGATCGTCGATACGATTTCTGAATAATCACTATACTTCCATCCTTATTCCATATTTCCACCTACCATCTCACACATCGGCGAACTTTAAATAGACACACACATATACACATACACACATACATGTATACACTCGCGGTCTCTCACGTATCTTTCTTTTTCGTAGTTGAATGTGTTGGCAAATTATCGAATCGGTGGTTGGGACTCGTTAGACGCGTGACACTCGTGCTAATTGGTCGTTTCACTCGAAGGATACTTCACGAATCCTACATTATCGATTAGACATGGCAAGCTAAATTGAAACGCGCAGTTTGAGCATCGCAGCAACGATCAACAATTTCGTTTCCGCTTCTCCGTTCTATCTCCAATTCTATCTCCGTTTCCGTTTCCCGTTTCCGTTATCCATTTTGCGAGCGATCCTCTTTCTCGATTGAACGTCATATCGTTGTGTCGCGTTTCTTCGACGACCGGTTCTTCGAGTCCTAACTCTCCGAGTTTGCGTGCTTTTCACACGAAATACAGAAACATGAATTTAGTCGCGGCATGTGCACAGCATGGCTCTAATTACGCTTACGCAATAACAGTAATCTGGCTTACGCTCGCGTAGAAAGAGAAAAGAAAATATGTTAATTTTTGAGATCGAGTTTAATTGGTCGGATAATACCATACGTTGATCGACCACGTGATTTGTATTTCTAGAAATCACACTCGCTCGAGTCAGGGAAAGAATCGAGATTATTTTTCTTTTTTTTGCTTTTTGCTTCAAATAAATTAAATCGATATGTCGTTCCGGTTTTCGAGTATGAACCGTGTTCTTTTGAAATAAAAGTTTCGAGGTTTATGATTGGTCTACCAAATCGACCAATCAGAAACGTCGAGCTACAAAATACGTTAGAAACATCATCATGCGCAGTCGGTAACGTTCTACTGGTTATTTTGTATATTTAAATACTAGACTCCTGTGATTCTCAACCTGAAATGCTTGAAAATTGTGCATTCCTTTATAAATAGTGGTTTCATTTTAAAACGAACTTTAAATATTGCGGTACAGATATCGAATTTAACCCGAAAATGTTAAAATTGAAACTTTTATTCCAAAAGAACGCGACTCGAAAATCTCGCGATCGATAAATATCGGTATTTACAAATGATCTTTAATTTGGAAAAAGGTTATCTAATTATTCCTTTCCCGACGCGAGATGTCTCCCCTCCGAAGAATGTTTTCTTTCGAATTAGCGTGCTCTTCTTGATGAATTGCTTCGAACCAGACGCTTGGTGAACTTTAATTTCAATGGTGCACTGTGTTCCAGGAACCTTGACCGTGAACGTGAGCGTGCTGTTGCTAAGTTTGGCTTCCCCAGACGAGTCCAGTTTGGTAATTGAACATTTTTCTCTCGATAATCATTTCATCATGCTCAAGACACGGAATAAAAAAACGATGCACGCGCGACACATTTTTTACATCATTAGGACACACGAGAGGTGCACCAGAACCGTTGAAATATATTATAAACGAATTTATAAACGATTTATCCCTTCCTATTATTTTTGATCGACAGAAATACGAGGTGGAGTTCTTGCTGCAACAACAATGGTACGACCCGCGATTACGATATAGCAACCGGTCGCAATATGAATTCTTGAATGCGATTCATCATTACGATGATATCTGGTTGCCGGACACGTACTTCATAATGCACGGAGACTTCAAGGACCCGCTCATACCTGTTCACTTTGCCCTACGTATATATCGCAACGGCACGGTCAACTATCTTATGAGGTATTGTTTTATTTATTTTTAATAACACATTTTTCCATCATCATTTTATTTATTTCGACATATGTTTTTCAATTCGAATATACGATTATTTTCATTTGTTTCGCGAATGTAAAACGATAGAAGAACGTTATTTGAAAACTTGGCTTGACTTCACAGGCGTCATCTCATCCTGTCCTGCCAGGGTAGACTCAATATCTTCCCCTTCGATGACCCACTGTGTTCATTTGCGATCGAGAGCAGTAAGTGAATACACAGATATATGATATATATAATATATATATATGCACATATACTATTTTCTTATCATTTCAAATTAATAATCGATATACTTCATCTTCGTTTTCAGTATCGTACGAGCAAACGGCGATCACGTACGTGTGGAAGAATGACGAGGGTACATTGCGGAAGAGTCCTAGTCTAACGTCGTTGAACGCATACCTCATTAAGAACCAGACAATCACGTGTCCGATCAAAGTAAGCTGGAGAGGTGAGTTGTAGGTTCGTTCGACACGGAAGAAACACGTGAATTAATGAATAAGAAAAGATCGTTAGATCGTTCGAAGATTGTTAAAGGCAAAATGATTGTTGAAATGTATTTCGAGTGTCACCGTTCAGTTTTGACAGTCGTGTTTTTCAAAGATTCCGTTTTTCAATTTGCCGGGAAAAAGCTGTTTCAACTGCACGATGATACGAATTATTATCTCGATTGAGCAAACTCATCGTGTAGGGTCGAAGTATAATTGGATGAGATGAAAAAAAAAAAAAAAAAGAAATACCGTCGAAATTATATCATTTTTCTATTATTCGTTATCGATTCTCTCTTTTTTTGATGATTTTTATTGCATCCTTTTAAAATGACACGCTTCTGTACTGTGTTGCAATGCACCGAACACGGCCATTTCGTTAGCCCACGAAAACGATTTTAGTGTCGCTTGTACACGCACTCGAATATACTCGAGTTCAACTTTGTTTTTTCTTTTCTTTTCTTTTCTTTTTTTTTTTTTTTCTTTTTTATTGTCTATTTTATACTCGGTGACTGATTAGTCGATCACCGATTGCCAATATTTCTCGTTGGTTGGGTCATCTCGAAAGTTGCACAACCTCGGCTGTCAACTACGTCTTAGCGTTTACGATTAATTTTCTATATGCGTTGCAATTTAAAATAGATATTTTATCCGTTACAGAATAAGATTGGAGGAAACTTTCGGGACGGTTCGATCGATTTCTCGAACTCTGTACAAATAGTTTTTTTTTGCTATATTAGAAAACTTGTGGAGAGAAAAGATGATGATGGTGAAAATCGAATGAATGAGAAATGAAAAGGTGAAAGTAGTTCTATATTCTAATTCCTCTTGAAGATGAAAAATGAATTTGGAAACCGTAAATATCCACGAATCGTTTAAAACAGAATTATTTGAACGAACAGGTTGAACGAATTCCTGAAGAAAATTCCTAACATTATTCATCTTTCTCCAATCTATCATTCCCTTTAACATCTTGTCTTTGTTGGATTCGATCGGCTTTCTCCTCGAGATAACATACGTCTCGCAAGGGATTTGAAATTTTCTCTACTCGTCTGTCTTTTTTTTTCTTTTTTTTTTTTTTCGATCCCTCTTTTTTCCGATCTATATAATCGATACTTAACGATTATTTTCATTCCGTTGTTCCAATTTTGTTGCCAATTCATTTCTCTATCCTCTCTTCGCATCTCACACTCTCTCAACGGTGTAAATAAAATAACATTGGCCCCGATTTCGAAACGCGATTCGTTTATTAAAATATACAAGCACAGGTAAGTTGCAATGCATGCGCCATGCACATCGATGTGAACTTTTGCTACTTTTTCGATATTGCTTTGACCTTATCTTG